TAATTATATATAATTACTGATCTGCAGCAACAAACAAAAGAGGGATTTCCTGCTCTGTGTCAAATAAACCAAGTCCTGTGAGAACTGGGCTGTGACAGACACGGTTTGACCCCCCTCACGTGTTCGAGTCCTCGGAGGCGGAGACAGTGGGGGGGACGCCTCCACTCTTTTGATTGGTCTGTTTAGATAATGAAAATAACATTTGATTGGCTGTTTGGTTTGATCACTGACATGTATGATGTCTTGTTCCACTTTGTGTTTTTTTATTTTTGTCGTCTACATAAAGATGGACGACACAACAGCTGGCAAAAGTGAAGCCGAAGCGTCTCAATCGCCCCCTGGTGGCTGGCTGCAGCATAGGTCATAATGTTAGTGACCTAAAACTTTGAAATAAAAAAAATCTCAAAGTTGATTTTTGTCAAGTCTTAATTTTTCTGGTAAGTTTGGTTTAGTTATTTGACGCAGTACGAACATCATGGTTAACAGCTGGGACTGACTCACGATCGGTGGAGTGTTAATTATATTATTATCAAGTCAAAAACAACATTCTGAATTTACACAATAATATATATCTGCAATAGATGTCTTACTCCCATTTCAAATATCTACAATCCAGTAGTTTTAATATCATATTTTCAAAATGAAAACCTTCCCACATATTCATTCTGGAACTTTGAATATCCAAAAATAAAGAAGTAAAACGTCACAGTTATCCACAAATGTCCTTGTGACAATTAAAAGTAGATCTTCGCCTCTCTTCAGGCTGTGGGTGCCGAAATTCACCGAAGAAGAGGAGGTGAGGACGAAGAGGATTCAGCATCTGACCCGGGATTCCTCATCCATGACTCGAGCCTCTTTGGGTTTTGTGGTTTATCCCACAAAACAATTTAAAGGCAACACCTCTGAGCTCTGGGAATATGATCTTTACTCTATTATCCTTTTCACATTTAATAAACAAAAGATGAATAGAGAAAGATTGCAGATAGTTTTGTTCATGATAGATGGTATTAGATTTATTTAGCCTCTTTGTAAATCACTGAATAATTTATTCCTACCTTCAATTTCAGAGTTAAACACTTTGCGTGGCTTACTGTGAGATCTGAAAAACAAGGGTGTGTAGTGGAGTAGAACCATCGACTGTAACGGAGAGAACAAAGGGTACAGATATACAATAAGTGTTTGTGTCCCTTGGATTATGTCCTCAGGTCGTGTGTGAGTCATATAGTTTTAAAGGGAAATCAATAGAGAAATATTGGCTTTCACGTGGTTGGGATCCGATCTTTATAGAAAAAGCAAATGATGCTAATATTAAGACGATTTTATTTATAAAGCTCATTTCATATACAGAGGTAGATTCAAAGTGCTGCACAGGGACATTTAAAAAACAACAACACAGAGACGAATTTAAAAGAAATCAATGTAAAATCTGAAAGCCCAGTTTAAAACAATGACATGCTTTGATTGTATGATGGAGAGATGGAGTAAAGATGGAGCTTATCATTAATAATCAGAATATTTATTGAATGTGTGAATTTGTTTGTGTATAAATACAAACAGCAAATAGTGAAGAGTTCATCATGTTGTGTTGTTGAAAATAAGATGTTCTGTGTTGATTTGTAAATGTCAAACATCCAAATAATATTCTAGAATATAAAATACACACGACTAAATGCGAAACCTTGAAACTAAAAAAGAGTTCTGCCGTTGATTTTTCAGGTTCAGTTCGAGATAAACGATGCAAATAAAAGTGCGATTTTTGATTTTATCCGACAACGAGGCAGGAAAACAATTACTCTGTCCGTGACCCAGTAACAATGAGGGCTGTGCACAGGCGTTCCCATCTTAAATAGCATCATATCCCAAGGTACAAGCAGAAAACCAAAGCTTAGGAACTGACTAGATACAAGAGAACATCTGAGCTTTGTCATCTAGTAGGTCAGTTTCTTTGTTGCAGTGGGAGATGGACGCAGCACAGAACAAGATGAAAAGATTATTCAAACAAAAGATGTGGGTGAGAGTACGGTTACACTATAAAAGGGAACAGCTGAGCACTGGCCCCACCAGTTGGAGATAATCAGAAGATTGTTGAGTTTGGACTTGACAGGTAAGTGGGAAGTGATTCAAGAAATGTGATAGTAAATATATGATATGTGCAGATATGATGGTGTTTAAATGTTTTAAAAGTATTTATAACATGTGTTAAAACTGCACTTAAATAGTAATTTAATACTTTTTTCTATGATGAATCATTGTTGATCCATTTTTAACAACATCCTGATTCTCCTGCTGATCCTTAAAAGACTGCGACCAGTCAGGAAAAATGATTTTAAACTGTTTCTGTCACATTTTATTTGTACTTTCTGTCATCAAGTGTTTGCACATCTGTAGTTAAAGATTAATCATCCATAAAATATTCTGCACATTTAAGTCCGGGGTTCACAGAGACCCTGGGATACAGCTTTCACTTTCCTTTACAAAATAAATGAGAGAATTTCAAACAATTTTTTAAGTACAAGCTACTAAAAAGTCATGTTTCTCCACTACAGGTGATGAGTGAAAGTATGGGTTCACTGCAGCTGTCTGTTGTGCTGTTGCTTTTGACTTTCTCAGTATCAGGTAAGTTCCTTGGTCTTTAAGATTTGAACTCCTAGTAGATGTTAAGAGGCAGCGATGACGAGATATCAAACTGTGCTGACGCTGCCTTGGTTCGAACAACACTGGAAACGAGGGTGAAAAAAGAACTGAACCCATTCTCTCTGTTCACAGAGGCGGCGAGGATCATCGGGGGTCAAGAGGTCAAACAATACTCCATCAAATATCAGGCATCGCTGCAGACTGAGTGGAGGAGTCACTACTGTGGAGCGACCCTGGTGCACCCTCAGTGGGTGGTGACTGCTGCCCACTGCTGGAGACCGTGAGTGCCGACACTAGACAGATAATTCCAGAAAGAGAAAAGTTATAATAATAATAATAATGATGCCAGATTGTGTTTAATCATGAATAAAGGTGTGTCAGAGGGTAAATTCTGAAGCGCTGTGTGACCCTCAGGGCTCATCTGATGAGGGTGGTGTTGAGTGAACACAACCTGTACATACAGGAAGGATCAGAACAGGTCTTCGGGGTCGAACAGTTATTCTACCAAAACTATAACAGCATAACCTTCGACAACGACATCATGCTCCTGAAGGTAAACGGGAGATTCTGAACCTGCAGCTCTTCGTGTGCTTCCGTCTTGATGCTGACGTTCTGCTTTGTGTTACAGCTGAACCGGCCCGCACAGCTGAACAGCTACGTCCAACCAGCTGAACTGCCAGATAACACAACCAATCCCACTGTGTGCACGGTGAGCGGCTGGGGCGTGACTCAGTTGTACAGGCCTGTGCTCTCCCCCGTGCTGCGTGCTGTGGATGTATCAGTGTACAAATACTGCTGGTATTACTACTACTGGAGGAGGGTCACCCCAAACATGCTGTGTGCTGGAAATAGGATGGGTGGCAAAGATTCCTGCCAGGTACACGAAGATTTATCTTTTGTGTTGCATACTTTAATGCATGCAAAATGATGCTACCTTATATTCTATACACTCATTTTAACATTAATTTTCTTGCTATTCTTGCGTCTGTGTTGCATGTTTGACGTCGTGCAGTACATGTAATGATTAACAGCTCCTTTTCATTATTGGTGTAAACATGATCTAATCTTCATGGATTATTGTTTGGTGCAAATATGTTTCTACAATCTGTCACTCTTGAGTTATTGTTTATTAACTCTAATTTCACTTGGTGATCCACAGGGCGACTCCGGTGGTCCCCTCATGTGTGATGGCAAATTCGTGGGCATTGTCTCCTGGGGAATCAGCTGCGCAAATCCATACTACCCCGGGGTTTACACCAAAGTGAGCAACTACGTCCAGTGGATCCAAGACACAATCCAAGAAAACACACCATGAACACATGATCCTGAATAAACAGATCGAGATTCATTGAGTGGGAAAACAAGCTAACAAGCTGAGGCATGAATTATTATTATCAATGGCATTTTTTTAGTATTATTATTATTATTAACTTTCTTTGTGTTCTTTGAAATGTAAATTTTACAGTTTTAGTTTATTAGCAATTGATAGTTCTTGGGTTATTGTTTGTAGAGCTAAGGTTTCAGTTGTTTATTCATATGTGGTTTCCTGGAACATGTTAATATGCTTGTAATTCATTGATAATTGATTAAATGCTGTGAAACGAAATACAAAAATAAGTTTATTGGAACGTGTAATAAATGTATGAAGCTGTGAATTTTCCGCTTTTGCAAATATCTCACAATAAAAACCTTTTAAAAACAGGTCATCAGCAACGCTGGGGTCTTTTCATTTTGAAAACAGGTAGGCCACAGGAAGTGATGCAACACTTTTGTTTGGGACATAATCAACAGACAAATATTGAGACTGTGGTGGAAATCTTTTCTGTTGTGAATCTGCGAATCTATGAATCTATGAGTCTGTCTGTTCCACTGTGAATTTATGAATCTGTATTTTCTATTGTGAATCTGTGAATCTATGAATCTATCTGTTCTACAGTGAATCTATGAATCTGTTTTGTTATGAATCTATGAATCTGTTCTGCAGTGAATCTTTGAATCATTGAATCTATGAATCTGTTCTGCAGTGAATCTATGAATCATTGAATCTATGAATCTGTTTTGTTGTGAATCTATGAATCTATCTGTTCTGCAGTGAATCTATGAATCATTGAATCTATGAATCTGTTTTGTTATGAATCTATGAATCTGTTTTGTTATGAATCTATGAATCTGTTTTGTTATGAATCTATGAATCTGTTTTGTTATGAATCTATGAATCTGTTCTGCAGTGAAATTGCTTTGACCCTCCGGAGCCTCCGTAGTCTCTGTCTTCATGACGCATGCGCAGTAGCGCTTGTTTTGTTAGTTCGTCAGAATAAGTTGAAGCTGTGTAAACATCGTCAGTGACCTCTGACCTCTGAGGGAGAACCATGTCGGTGAGGCACGCTATCTTCCGGGGGCTGGAGCTGGGCAGGTCGGTCCTTCAGCGGGGTCTCCTCAAACCCGCTGTCCGAGTCGCAGCGAAGCTCCGGGGGGAGCGTGTAGGCCCGGCGGCCCGCACCGTTCAGCCTCGGCCTTTCCTGCCGGCTCGGTACCGCTACTACCGCAGCTCCCTGCGGGGCCTGGCTGCCCAGCTGCAGGCCGCCGCCTTCAGGAGGAGGTTCCCGAGAAACAGAGCCGTGTTCTTGGCCTTAAGTCTCGGCGTGGGACTCATCGAGCAGCAGCTGGAGGACGACAGGAAGACTGCGGCGACATGTCAGGACATCCAGGTAATAAAACTTCAGTACCTCTGTACAGTCTGTGATACTTGTACTTCACACGAGTATCCCCACTTCACTCTACTATGTCCCTGTACTTCACTTTGTATCACAGATTGTACTTCAGCTCAACTAAATATAAATTATTTATTTTCATGCAACTTTAATTAAGTGTGAAGAAATCTTTCTGTTTTAAATCTCCCAGAATCAAAGAGGACTGAAACAAACATAATGTTTTTGACTTTGAAACAGTTTTTGAAATATTATATAAATAATAAAAGCATATCATTTAATTAAAGACAATGCAAATGAAGTTTTAAGAAGTGAACTCCAGTGTGTGGATACTTTCTACCCTTGAACTACAGGATGAGCTCTGCACCCTCTCTCTATCTGCAGGCTGTGTTCAGAAAGAAAAGATTCCAGACCCCGACCAAGCCGCTCACCTCTGGATACAAACTGGAGGATTACATTATTGGGAACCAGGTTGGCAAAGGCTCCAATGCGGCTGTGTACGAGGCTGCAGCTCAGTTTGCCCCGGCTAAGGAAAGTGATAGCCAGCGCCCCCTGGTGCAGCTGAGAGAAGACGAGGAGGAAGGAGAGAATGGTCGTTCTCTGACGTGCTGCTCGCTGAGAAACTTCCCTCTGGCGATCAAGATGATGTGGAACTTTGGGGTGAGCATTTACACAAAGAGATTTCTATTTCCCCTGTGCATAGAAAACAAATGGCAGACACGCATCTCAGCTCTGACTCTGTCTATTTTGATTGTTCAGGCAAGTTCTTCGAACGAGGATATATTAAAATCCATGTCCCAGGAGCTGGTGCCTGCAGGGCCCCTGGCCTTAAAGCAGATGAAAGAACAAATTACTCTGGATGGGTAAGTACTGTCATTTTCCCTCACAAGTTCTGCAGTAGTGATGTAGGAAAGATGTTCACAGAGGACTGTTGTTGATCTCATCTCTCTCTACATTCAGAGACTTTGGAGTTCTGCCTAAAAGAGTGTCGGCACATCCTAATGTGATCACAGTGTACCGGGCTTTCACTGCGGACGTTCCATTGCTACCAGGCGCCCTGGAAGAGTATCCAGATGTGCTGCCACCCAGGCTTAACCCTGCTGGTCTGGGCAACAATCGCACTCTCTTCCTGGTCATGAAGAAGTAAGACTTGTTATCTTTCACCCTCATCATGAACACATGTCACCAGTTTCATCTTAAAACTAGAGGGGTAGAGTGAACAACTCGGCCAATGCTGAACAGTCCCCTCAAGAATCCACATTTAAATTCACTCGATCCAATTTTTTATTTTTTGTGGTTGGTATGAAAACACTGAATCTGTCATGATGATAATAACTTAAGAGATGCACACACACACAAAAATAAAAAATAAAAAACATACAACCTGTTACGTTGCACTAACAGCCTGTCTTCTGTACCTCAGCTATCCTTGCACACTGCGACAGTACCTGGAAGTGTCCACGCCAGGCCGCAGGCAGGGCGCTCTGATGGTGCTGCAGCTGCTCGAGGGGGTCGACCATCTGTGCCGACAGGGCGTCGCTCACAGAGATCTCAAGTCAGACAACGTGCTGTTGGAATTCGACTCAGGTGAAACAAAAGATCCAGCGTGTGTCAAAATCTATATTTAAGATGTGACTCCATCAAACATTTCTGTTAACAAAGCAAATTGTTTTGTTTTAATGCAGCGGGCTGCCCTCGTCTAGTGATAACTGATTTCGGCTGCTGCCTGGCCCAGAGGGACTCCAGTCTACAGTTGCCCTTCATAAGTTCGTGGGTCAGCAGAGGAGGGAATCCTTCGCTCATGGCGCCTGAGGTAGACTTACGTTGTTCTTTGTTGTAGAAATGAAAAGGAAGAATATCCAACAGTCGCTTAGCCGTCTCTCATTGGCCCGATGGATGGCTTTGATGTAACAAATGATCTTCAGTGAAGTGAAAGCACTCTATGGTTGCCCTGTGTTCAGTGAGAAGGTTTTACAGTTAACCACATGTTTCCTCCGTCTCCGTGTTGTGTGTCTGCCCACAGGTGATCACTGCAGTTCCAGGATCTGATGTGGTGATTGACTACAGCAAAGCAGACGCGTGGGCTGTGGGCGCCATCTCCTATGAGATATTCGGGCAGCGCAACCCGTTCTATCGAGCAGTGGGACTGGAGAGCAGGAAATACGAGGAGAAGCAGCTCCCTCCGCTGCCCTCTGGTGTTCCAGTCGATGTGCAGATAGTGATCCGATTACTCCTCAGGAGGAGCCCGAGCAAGGTAAGGGAGGATTTGATTGGACACTGTGTTCTGTCTCTATAATTGGTAGGGTTAATTTCTACAGTCATTATTATTAATCATTACTTTAACATCTTCCTACTGTTTTCTTAATTTTTCTATCTGGGAGAAGCTTTGACTCGTATCGAAACATAAACTCTTTATTACTCACTGATGTTTTTGTGTCTCTGCAGCGCCCCAGCGCCCGTGTCGCAGCCAACATGCTACATGTCAGCCTCTGGGGACGGAAGGTCCTGGCCGATCAGGACAGTGCGGGCATGAGGGAGTTGGTTGATTGGTTGCTGTGCCAGTCGGCTGTGGTTCTCCTGAAGGGCTGCAGAGGACCGAGTGGGAAGAGCGTGGAGGCGGAGCTTCAGAGGAGCTTCCTGTCTAACTTGGAGCTCGACGACCTGCGCACTGCCGTGGGCTTCCTGCTGTATGGGCAGGGTCAGGCCATGATGCTGTCTGCATAGACACACACACACACACACACACACACACACACACACACACACAAAATAAAACTTTGAGTAAGTAATGATTACTGAGTACTCATGTAATGAGAGACTAATAATTACTGAGTACTCATTTTAAAA